AAAGGGTGGGAGGATTCCTATCTTTAGTCAAATATTTCCAAGATGATCAGTTAGAAAACACCCTCACACACAAGAGGTGATGCCTGTTAAGGCAGAGACAGTGAAATGTTTCTCTCTTAGAAAAAGATGGACTGCTCTGTGCCTCCATGTAGGTTGGGGGATTTCAGATATATTGAGATCTTATTGAGATCTTGTTCATAAGTACTGGAAGATTAGCAGGCAGATTGGTGCTCCATCCACAGTGATCTGAATGTTATTCCAGCGTCCCTATACAGTACTACATTACTACTATAGTAGTTAGCAGTTTCAGTTAATTTGTTCTGGATAAAGTGCAGATTAACAGTGTGTGAAAAATCATTTTTTCTTTACTTCTGACATGATGTGGTATGGATTTTTTTTTTTTTTGTATGTGACGCTGGATGACTCTTGTACTGAAAAAAAAGATCCAGGCAAATCTATCTAAATAACTGATCTTTGGGTACAAACAAAAAGAGTGCTGACAAAATCAACAAAAAAGTATTCTATATCTTAACAATATTTAAATTAAAAATGTCAACTGTTGTTTTTGATCAGACTCCCATCATACAACCTTTAATAACACCAGGTGACAACACTTCCTGTTTACTACTTTTTTTGCATCAAAGTGCATGACGTACATTACAGTGAGATGAAATGAGAGTCATGAGAGTAAAACCAGCGAGTTGTGTTAGTCACGCAGTGAGAAGCAGGTTAGATTCTCACCACACGCTGTTCTCTCATGGCCACATTAAAAAGGCTGTGAAGTAACTACTTTCTGAGGTCTTGAGGGGATTTCCATGACATATCAGAACTATTCATCTGCCTTTGAGAGATAAGCTCTGTCTAAGATTTTGGGACATCCCAGAAAAGCCCTTGGTCTATTTCCTCTGCCTGAGGTCAGAGACATTATGACCACCAACAACTAGTATCTTTGTCAACTTGTTCCATGATGGCCTTCAGTTTTATGTGATTTCTTTGAATCACATTTTCATGAATTCCATTTAGGTGAAATGGAATGAAGCAAAGCTAAGTGAATGACTTGGGTCGGAGCAACAAAGCTCAAGTTACAGGTCTGCTAAATAAAATTAACATGTCCTCTGGAGCTAGACTGGGTGTTCCACTGACTGCACAGCATGTTTGTCCCCTGCTTGTTGGCTACATGCAAAGTTCAAACAACAATTGTTAAGGCAAAGAGCCAATCTCAAAACTAAATTCCGAAGGAGCTTAACACATTAGCAAGGAAGGGGATGAGGGAAATCAGAAGGCAAAAACAGACTCTGGGGGGGGCAAGTCAGGACTAAGCATAAACTCACTGGATACTTCGCTATGCACACTTTGCTAGTATTGTGCTGGACCCCCCCTTTTTTTTTTTTTTTTGGTCTTCAGAGCTGCCTTAAATCTTTGTGGCATCAATGATGTTGGAAACATTTCTTAGATTTGGGTCCAGTTGATGAGATTTGTCTGCTGTACATTCATGATGTTTTTTTTTCTTGTTCCACCACATCTCAAAGGTGCTCTATTAAACTGAGATCTGCTGCCTGTCGAGTTAATTTGAGAGCAGTGAACTCTGTCATGTTCAATAAGCCAGTTTGAGATGATTAGAATTTTATGAAATGGCATATTATCCTGCTGGGACCAGCCTATAGCTAGCGTATAAATCATGCTCAGTTGGCACTAAGTGGCACATTGTGCCAGGAAAATATTCCCCAGACCATTATACCACCACCTGCCTGAATCATTGATACAATGTAGGGTATTTTTATATTTGTCCAGAGATAAAACTCAAAACTACAAGCCCCACAGAAACCCCATCTAATTGTTTTCTGGGGTTAGCCAATTAGAATAAGATTAACTTAAAATGGAAGGAGCTAAAGTTTTTCTGTTTGTTTGTTTTTTAACAGAGGATGAACTGAGGTGCCACACCAAGTGCAGTATAAAAATAAGGATTATTTTGAATTCTCAGTCAAGCAAAGCTGCCCTATGGGAGTTGAAGAACTAAGTATAAATCATTATTGTGCATTGGGATTAAATACCATTGTGTTTTTTTCTCATGCGTACTTGCATTTCTATAGTTTGACAAAGAATAAAACATTTCGAAAGAAGCTCTTGTTTATTCTGCGTGGGACAATGTGTTTTTAATTGCAAGAAGAAGGCACATCTTAAATAACCATAAGAGAATTGGAGCAGCACCAACCCAGCATTGCTGCCAGTGAGTGCACAATATGAAATACAATATATGAAATTCACCTGCTCACAATAATAATGTTAGATCCAGAATAGTGGAGGCCAATTACTCTTGTTTGAGAAAATAGCATTTTGTTTTTCATTTTTAAGGGAAAGGGTACCATTAATTCTGGTAACTTAATATTGAAAATAGCCAGGTTCTCAGTCAGACTAGCTGAATGTACTGTGCAAATAAGTGTTGCATATAGTCTGTGAAAAGAGCTTGTTATTTGCAGAGAGGAGGAAACTGGAAACCAAGCAAGCAACACCTGAAAGAAGCAGAAAAGGAAAAAAACAAACCCACAATAAAACCCAAAGGAAGTGGTGTTTTTGTTTTTTTGTTTTTTTTTTAATCTCATTCTCTAGCATTGAAATAAACACTGTTTTGAACATGAGATATACTTTAAGCTGAGTTAGCAAAAGTTCAGACACTCTGTACTTAAGTACAAGTACAAATATTGCTGTTAAAAATACTCCAGTAAAATTAAGCAAAATAAATTGATATTTTCTATTTCCAAAACTGTAGAACATAGGTGTTAAACTCTGGCCTGCAAAGCCATACCAAATTACTATTAGAGCTGGCCTACTGGTATTATACAGCTAATATATATATTGTTTAGTATTAAGCTTTGCTTGTTCCATATTCAGTTTTTCAGCAAAACGTGTTTGAGTCCATAAGAAAAGATTCATTCTTATATCTGGAGGAAGAATTTTTTTTTTTCAATAAATATTAATGTTAGCCCACGACTTTGTTCCAGTTTTGAATTTTGGCCCACTGTGTATTTGAGTTTGACACCGCTGCTGTAGAGGGTGACTTTGCCTCTAAACAAAACAATGTGTACAGTCAGGAATTCATGAGGTGGGGGAACCCTAAAACTGCTCACTGTGGGGAAAAGACTCATAATTCATAATAATTTCTATTGAGAGCTCCATTAGGTTTTCTTTGTGTACAGGCTGTGATCAGCTGACCTGTTGTTCTTTGTGGATGTACACAAATGAATTCAACAGCATGTCAGTAGTTCTGGCTGATTTCAGGGCTCTACACTGACAGCACACTGTTTATAGTAGACTGTATAAAGTTGGTATGAAGGTGGAATTAGGTCAGTAAGCATCGTCAGCTAAAATTCAAATGAATCTCTGCTACACTTCATGTAACCTTACTCTGACCATGAAACCGCAGCCAATGTGCACCAGTCACACACTGTTCTTTAATTTAAACCCATCACACTACAGCAAATTAACCTGTTTATCTTCCATTAACATGCAGAGGATTTTCATGCAACCTTTAAATAACAGTTAGTCTACCTCAGTTTGTTTAGCAGCATGTTTCACAACAGGAAAAAATATATAACAATGTCACATGTACAGACCCAATATCTCATTTTAAAAACACAAGGACTTACATGTACATTTCCAGTTTATCAGATCCCACTGAGCAGCCCTTACCTTTCAATCTAACCTCTCTTCTTCCTCTACTGTCCTGTCTTTCTTATCTTTCTCCATCTCTGAGTGAAGCTAGCTCTCTTTCATTTCTCTCCCTGTGAAATACAGCAGCTTGACCTTTGGCTGTGACAAATTACACAGGAACAGTTTGCGTGTTTGCTGATGTTTGTTGAGCTGATAAAACGCTGCATTTGATATGACCTGCCACTTAAAAAAAATGTTACTCCCTTTAAGCTCGCTCCTCCAGAATAAAAAAAACAAAACACCGTCCCACTTTTAACCCCTGACTTTTGCACACGTTATCTCTTTTTATGCGAGAACAGGACTACCTTTCATGTCTTTCTGTTTAGGCTCAAATCGGTTTGATGTTTGAAGGCTCGCAATGATAAAATAATAACTCGACCCAAATGCGTTAAAGCAAAAGTAACGAGGCTGTTTTGAAAATGTCGAAAGTACAGATATTTGTTTAGAAATGTAGGGTGTAAAGGTAATAAGTAGTCAGAAAACAATACTTAAGTACTGATACATGAAAATTGTAGCTAAGTACAGTAACAGAGTATTTGCACTTTGTTTCTTCCCACCTCTGACTTTAAAACAGTAAAAAGGAAAATTCTAGTTATGGGAAAACACATTATTGCCATAATAGGTTTGTTAAATTTTAAACAATGAATAGAAATAAAACAATTAAATTAAATTAAATTAAATTGGAACATTTGAGCTCAGCATGGTTGAAATATTCTGGGGAAAAAAACACTCAGAAATATTGGGATTAAAGTTAATATATTCACTGTAAATCAAATCAAAAGGCAAAAGATCAGGTATAAATGCACAATTAATGCCACTTTACATTTTTTATTTATTTAATTTATCCACAAGTAGATAAATTTATATCAGATTTGAATTAGTTAAGACGAATTTGAAACTACTCATTATACCAGAGTAAACATGACATGTCAGATTTTTGTCCGTTTCTGATCATCTGTATCAACTTTATCCTTTGAATTATTATCAGTTTATTACCTGTGGCAAACGTTTTTAAGGGAGATTTATGATAGCAAATTAGGAGAATTATATGTTAAATGAATAGACTATCATTATCTAGAGAAATCCTGAGTTTCATGGATTGAAGTTTCTTAAGAAAACACACATTGCCTCAGATAGTATTAAAAATTTTTGTTTCAAATGTACATTTTGATCTTGGATGTTTTTTTCTCTGGTATATATAATAATTAAAAAACACACACGTATGATAAAAGCACCAGCCTACAGTTCGCTTTTAGTGGAATACGCTTTTAAGGTGACCCGGAAGTGTTTCTATTTACACCGGATATCGAGCTTGTCAATGTGACCTGCCGTTACTCGCACACAGTTATGTTTTAATAGACGCGATTAGATAAACACTTAGAAAATGTTTCTCACCACAGTAAACTGTAAGTATTTTATTCTCTTAAATCTTGTCTTCAAACAGCACGACGCATGCGTACCTAGAGCTCTCCCAATACGCTGTTGTGGGGTTAGCTGATGCTAAAACGTGAGCTGCTCTTAAAATATACGTCTGTTCATGTGGGCAGTCACTGTGAAATATTTTATAATAAATTTATTTCACACGTTTCAGTGGTTTTGGGTTTTAGAGAGATAGATTTAGCTTCTGGATAGTACAGCAGTATGTGTTCAGTGTCCATTCACTGGGCTTTGTAAGTGCGGAAATCTCAGAAAGCACCTGTGCTACTCGAGAGGTAGTTTTTCTTTTCATTTAGATGTGTAGGAGAGTCTTTGAGTTTTCAGCAGATACTTGCACACAACCTTAACAGCTTTAAGGACTTTCTGGGGCTGGTGTTGGCGTGCTGTTAGCAAGTTTCCACTAAAATCCCGTTGCTCTGAGTGCTGCTGAACGATATCTGTTGGATTCACCTGCATAAGATTCTTTCTTTCTTTTCTTTTCTTTTTACAGTGGCGAAGGCAAAATCCAAGTAAGTGCACTGGCTGATTCTTTGAAAGTCTAGTCAATAGGCCTCATTCACACATGAAGCATAAGGCTGTGCGTAAACCGTGCATACTGAGGATTTACGCGTAAATTTCTGTTTCATTAAAATAATCTTAACAGAATTTGCACTTCGGAGTACAGATGTACCTTTCCTTTACGTCATGGAAACGAACACGTGATGAAAGCCGGGCTGTCTTAGAGCATTTAAACAAACATCTTTACACTTAATACTATTACTTATCCACATGTTGGATCCCATCCCTAATCCAACTCTAACCATTTGTCCAAGTCGAGGTCAGGCAGGAGTCTCGTGGGATGTGATGTTTGTAGACGGCATTGTAATCTTTACTGGGAGTAGAAAGCAGATGGAAGAACGTCTGGACAGTTGGAGGTATGCTCTGGAGAAAAGAGGAATGAAAGTCAGTAGAACACGTGTAAGTGAGAGCAAGACAGGTGTAACAGTGAAACTACAAAGAGAAGAGGTGGTGAAGGCGGATGAGTTTAAATACCTGGGCTCAGCCATCCTAAGCAATGGGCAGTGCAGAAGAGAGTGCAGGCAGGGTGCAGTGTCAGGGATAATTTCTTATATATCATTTTTTAGCCACAGGGACCGGAAAGTTTACAAGATGATAGGTTTGATGTATGGTTTGGAGACAGTGGCACTAACGAACAAAATAGAAGGCTGAGCAGGAGGTGGCATTATTTAAGATGGGAGTGGCCATGATGGACAAGATTAGACATGAGTACATCAGAGGGACGGCTCAAGTTAAGTGGTTTGAAGACAAGGTTAAAGAAGCAAGCCTGAGATGGTTTGAATGGGCAGAGGAAAGCTGGCAAATACACTGGATAAAGGATGTAAAGTATGGAGTTGCCAGGCAGGAAGAAAAAGAGGACTACTACAGAGAAGATTCATAGATGTAATGATGGTGGACCCTAAAGGGAGCAACCAAAAGAAGAAGAGCACTACTAATATGAATTGTTATTATTATTAGTCATTTCATCTTGGTCATTAGTTACAGGTTTCCAGAATAAGATAAGCAAAAAGTTTCTCAGAATTGAATAATGAACTGTAAGGAATTCAGGGTTTGACATGAGCACAGGGCCGGTATAACTGTACGTCAGGCAAGTTGCTTCTCCAGGTGCTGACTTTGTTTCCACCTGTCACAGCAAACTGGTTAAAGCTACCCTCACTGAAGAATATTTTTCTCTTGTTTTGTCATTTTAAAGAAAGCATGTGATATTTCTGAAGCAGAGAGTCTATTATTGTGTGACTATTAAGGTGGTTTCCTCCTGTGACTCTAACCCTTTCTACTTCAGTTGTGCTGATTGCAGGTAGTGCACACAAACCTGACGGGTTAGAATAATCCAGTGCACAAATCCAACGCTAATTTTGTGCAGAGGTTAAGAACATTTCTGCACGTGCACCCGTGAATGAGGCCTGTTGTTAGTGTTTCGTGTTGAAATGGCAGTCACCTCTCTGTGTGTTGCTTACCTGTCAGGACCATCCTGGTGCAGATGGTGAGTGCTGCAGGGACCGGATACTTCTTCAACACAAAGAGGAACCGACTCAGAGACAAACTGGTGCTGCGCAAACACGATCCATTTGGTAAGAGCCGTGTGAGGACAACTATGACACACAAATACTCATTAAAGCAAAATCCATATAACCCAGGATATCTTTTCCTTGTCTGGCTTCACTTATTCAAGCGGCAGCAAGCAGGCTAAGCAGTCACATGAAGGTGTTGGCACTTTAATAAATCACTACTTGAAAAGTGAACCCAGGGTTTCCCAATCGACCTTTGAGCACACAACAGTATATGATTGTTTTTCTTTTAACTTGGAAACTATTTGTATTTAAACATGTGGTGTGATCAAAACATTCTTCCCAAAGTGAAAAGCCGTACCTGATTCTAAATTTGGCAAACCTCCAGTTCAAGATTATCTTCTCGGGCATATCCAGAAAGCTTCAATCGTTGCTGCTATTTTTAGAGATGTCCTTGGCTGTCCTGTTCTGACCATTTTCACTGCGAGTTTCATCATGACCTCACTGTGCTCACAATTTTGACACACTGGAGGGGATACAAACAAAAGTACAGGGGGACAAATATAATTTGACTTCTGCTGAGTGATCCAAACTGTCCAAGCATAACACCTGGAATAGATTAGTCCAATTTAAAATCAGCTAAGGATTCAAATTTATGGTGGACCTGTTTTCAGAACGTGTTGGTCACACCTTCTGTTCACCCCAGTGGAAAATAAACAAAACCCATATTTGGAGTGACCCTTGACTTCCACCTACTTTCTGCTTTTTGTCTTTTCAGTGAACAAGCACGTCCTGTTTTTTGAGAAGAGGAAGATCAGATCGATTTAACCGCAGCACACCGACACACACAGATGGACAAAATGAACTTGCAGAGGTTTAAAGGCATCGTTTTTATTGCCGGGGATGGTACAGCGGGTTAATCTGGTTGACGTGTTTATCAGAGGATCTTCCTGGATGGATAAAAGTGGAACTCCAGGCTTGAACAAAAGAGACTTGAAACCAGAAAAGTGATGTTATGTAAGGGGACCACCGCTGCCATGATCTGAAGCTGTTCATTGGTTCAAAATAATTATTTAATTGGGTGAATGTACTTTGTGAAACATTTGTTGTGGTTAATTCAAATAAAATAATCTCAATGATTGACTTATCTTTAATGGTAATCAATTTTAAGATATCTTAAGCAGCAAATTTTCATAAGAACATTTAGTGTTGAGTCTTTCTGACCCCATTCAGATGTGGTCCCTTAACATCAGGGTCTACTGCTACTCTTGGAAGTATTCATTTGGGAGGTCCCGTCTGTACGGAAAAGACGTCTGCGTGCCGATTTCCCGCACGCTCACCCCTGCCACCAGATTGGCTCTGCGGGCCATCTCCTCCAGAGGCATGTGTGGGTGGTTGGCCATGTAAAATGCCAGTGCTCCAATGAAGCTATCACCAGCACCCTGAGAAGAAATAAAACAACAATGCATTGTTAAGGGGACCTTATTTTCAAACAGGTGGCAGTTAAATACAGACAAAATTTCAAGTAATGAGGTGCAGCCAGGTTTAGACAGTTTTTTTCTCTTGGCTCTATATTTTACATAGTGACATTTATGAGGGGCAGCCAATCAGAAGAAAGATTGCTCAAGGCAGCATGGAAGAGAGCTAAAACAGGTCATTTCACGCAGAGGATGAACTGAGCTGCACTGTAGCTCAGTATTACATTTGAATATTTTGAACTCTGAATCATGCAAAGCTACTGCAATTGAGTCCAGTATTAAAAAACAGGAATCTAAAAATTAATAAAATCACTCTACAATCTATATGGCACAATATACCAAATAAATTATGCAATTTCAATCCCTTTTATTTCATTTGTTATGCAACCTGGTTAAATAATAAAATACTGGCATCTCGGGCAGATTTCCCCAGATTTCTTTTTGGGGAAAAAATTTGGGTTTTTCATCAGATTTCATTACCACAGATATGTCGCGTACACTCTGGGGCTCCTTCATTAACACCACCCCTCATATCTAAATGTATTAACCTGAACTCTTTTCATTTAAAAGTGTATATACTCATTTTTGGTTCCCTTTTGGTCTCAGCTACTTTTTTTTATTTTTTTTATTAGTATAAGCTGTGGATTTTTACCATCTATCATCACTACTCATTTGCTTTTTCTGCCATTTATCCATCGCTGTTAACAATTTAACCTCCTTAGAAATTACTTTTAGCAGTACTACTAATGGCATTTCAGGCTATTTACAGGCCCATAAAAAGGGCCTTAAAAGGTAATAGACTTTTAAAGGTCCAAATTACATCACAGCATTGGTTTACAGTTTTAAGATTTGCATTAGGTTACTGAACAACTACAGCTTTGTCTAAAAAAGAATTCTTAAAAAGGGAATAATCACCCACAGTATTCATGTTAACTGACAATATTCAGTAAATATTCTGGCATGAAATTATGCTGACACTGGCTTGTGTAAGATAGAGAAAAATATTATATTATTTAATCGAAGCAACATGTTACCTGTCACTTTGTGTTAAGTTGTCCCAAATTATCTGAGTGTTTGTTACCAAAGAGCCAGACTTTATGAGAAACTTTCAAAGTTTTTGTTTGGACATTGGCTTCTTTTACTCATTTTCTGTGAATTCCTCGTCATTTTCCGAAGAATGAATATATATTTAAAAAGCCACTTAATAGATCTATGAATCATTCAAACAGGAAAAAGGCTCCTAACTCAAGGGATGAATCACTGTTGTGTCTACGCACAACCGACAATTTAACAAAAAAAACTTATTTTAAATTGTATCTTTAGTCAGTTACTAGGGGTGGGGGAAAAAATCGATACTGTGTAGTATCGTGATATTTTGTTTGCTAATAATGTATCGATACAGGGACAGCAGAAATCGATATTTTGTTACAAAAAAGGTTTTTGTGCTCTGACTTCAGAGCATGTTGATCCTTTTTCTGAGCAACAATCCTGACATTCCTTCACTGTCCAAATGTGTTTAACTTTTTTTTTGGCAGCAATAAACATGACAGTTTACTTATTTTAATTTAAGACATGTTTTATTTTAATTAAGTTTAATGTAAAATTATATTTTGTTTTAATTTACTTTCAAATTCTTCAGTTGCCGAATGGGCTGCATAGTTTTCATAAATTGCATAGTTCAGAATAGCTATAATTGTACCAGATGGTTGCATTCAGTTAAGTTGGACTAGTATGTAATACAAACCGTTCAGTTTGTCAACAATAAAACTGACTGAAATGAGAGAAAGACTGAGTGCGAGACTTTATCAATATTCATTTTATCTAATATCAAAGTTTACCATTATGTACAGAATCTGAATATCGCAGATATTTTAAAAAAAATCGCAATAATATTGTATCGTGCGTTAAGTATTGTGATAATATCGTATCGTGGGATGTATGGTGATTCCCACCTCTATTAGTTACTAACAACTTGTAACAAAAACACATAATTTGTTCCCATGTCTTTAGTTGAATCTACAAAAAAGGCCAAACAATAAAAATAAAAATAACTGAGCTCTTAGTTAAAAACATGGCATATATTTGCATGGTGTGTCCAGACTAGACAAGTGGAGGACAAAAGCAGTAGCATGCATAAAAAAATTCTACAATAGATGAACAGGGGTTAAGCTATAACCTTGAAAAGAAAGCTAGCAAAGACCTTCAGATGATCTGTCAATGGAAATATTCTTAAGGAAGTGAAATGGGAAGAAAACATTGGACTGAAAATCAGAGGGATCAGGTCTTTTGAATTGTATTTCTGTGTATTTTTGCACATGCATCATTCTCAGTGTCAGATTTCTAATTTTCCAGGCAAAATATTAAGAAATGAGCCTAGCTCAAGACTTGCACAGTACCATATTCTTATATCCAGCTGACAGTTTATCAGTTATTAACGGTCTTAATCACTTATTTGTGACAGCTTAATATTTCACTACTTTTATCTTTTAGTCCACTAAACAATGGCTGATTCTTTACAGAAATATTTTATCTATTTATCCATACTTACCCCTAACTAAACCTTTATAATTGTAGCCTGACTTTAAAAGGGGACTACAGCTTTTCTCTACTAAGCATTTTAATATTTTGAAACGCATTTTAGTTTTTCACTTCTACTGCTTATTCTTCTATTTTTTTAGCACACATTATTATTATTATTTTAATATATATTAGTTGTGTTAATCTTTCCAAGGTCCCCCAACTACTACTGAAGTAACCTTTTGGAGTAGCTGTAACCCTGGACTATTGTCCCAGTCAACAATTCCTGAAAACATGAAAGCTGGAGGGGAAAAAAAGTCAATTTAAAATATTTGGATTTTTTTCAAATATTTTTCCTAAAATGCTTCTTTCTGGGGTTTTTTTTTTTTAAATTATTATTATTTTAGAGAGAACATGAAACACACTTAAAAGACGAGGGGAAGCTTCATGTCTAAATTCACTAAGCTGCCAACAGTAGGGGGTGCTGTGGCATTTTCCAGCTGTTTGACTTGTACTGCTGCCTGCAACTAGTTTGAAATGACTTACTGGTTTGCCCTGTGTGAAAGTGTGTCTGTCAACTCTAACAAAACATCAGAATTAAGGGCTTTAATCGGTTTCACGTAAAACCAGCAAAGTCATAAATCTGGCACTCGTGAAATGCCTAAAATGTGATGTGACTGTTTCCCAACATCCTTTAAGGATGTTAAGTGTTTTATCATCTGATCAAATGACTACAGAAAGAAAAGCCAGCTTTCACTAATTGTTTTAAAAAGTCAGCTGAGTAACACGCGGCTGCCTCCTAACCTAACTGCCAGCAGCTCTGGTGTTTGGTTATTACCAGGAGTACATAAATCAAACCCTCATCTATTGATAAAGAAGGAATGTGCTGTGTACGCCCTGGAGGAGTGGTTTGCTGGGACGGGATGTCTAGAATGGGTTTGTGTGTATGTGTGGGGGGGCTCACTGATGGGAAAAAGCACACTGGTATGTGGCGACATGCTCATGTTTAACCACAAATGGCCCCCCGACACTGGTTCACACAAGCCCGCTCCATTACTCATCACATCGGCGCTCAAAAGACTTCATTGCACTCTCTACTGAGCATCTCTGTGAGCCTCCCCTGCTCATCCTCCAACTGCAAAGTAACGCTTTTGTCAAAGTGATGATTCAGTGGCATGGCGCAAAAACAAAAACCCCCAGCAACCCCCGAAATAACACTTCTGATTTGACCGTTACTGCACCTCTCCCTCCAGGCTCTTGCCTCTGGTGTGACTCCTGGACGGCAGAGATGCTGGAAAGAGTGAGATCAGAGATGAAACATTTCACAGGCCTGCTGGATTTCCATGTTTAAACCCTTGGCGTGTTTATGTCTCCTGTCTGGTAGCTGGGCTGGGTTACAGTGAAGCCTGCGTTTGGAACTGAAGCTTTGGTGGAGTGGCTCCACTGGTTTGACTCTGGCCCGTCTCCCAGTTAACATGTTGGGGTTGAGATGACTTTTGAGTGGGGATTGATGGTAGCAGCCAAAAGATTATGTGATAGAAACTGGAAGATTGCAGTCTTCATAGTCACAACAATAGATGATTATTTTTTAACCACAGGATGCTTCACATGATGACGTCCCAGTAATCCCTGCAAACACAGCCACCTCTGTCTTGTCACACTACAAAGAGGCTGGAACAAGTTTTAAATGAGCCAAATTCTTTATGAATGAAAAAAAAAGCCTTTAAATGCATTCCTTGACAGACAAAAGTGACGTAAAGTGGACCTATTTCTTTTTTCCTGATTGTTCCAAGTGTTACAAAGGACAATAGACCCACAGACTCCCATGTTAAAATGAGAAATAATACTTACAGCCTGGGATGAAATCTGATTTAGTCTCCTATTATAAACATGTACAAAAAGCGGGAAAAAGAATAGATTTTAGGTCAGCTTAAAGCCAGGAGGTGTGGCAGCTTGTTTGACAGGCTTTAGAGTAGGGTTTGACAAACCCATTACATGTGTCACGTATATATATGCCACATGTAAAAACCAACATTTATCTACAGTTCAAGTTACATACATATCCAATATATATCCTACCATTTTAAAGGTAGGATATATACGGGCTTTTTATCTGCTACTGTAGTTTCCAACAAAGGAATAACCTCGGCAACCAAAAACTGCAGTTCCGCCAATGGCCACCTGTGGCTGACTCTAAAAGCGAGTCCAACCCATAGACTCCTGTTAAAACGCTCATCTTTACAGCAACAGTAAACATGAATGCAGCCTGATGCACAAAATTACTTTAGTAGATAAAGCTCTTTTTATGTGGGAAGTTGGCTGTATGGGGCTGAATTTACTTATAATAATTTAGATTTTGTTAGGGCTTAAAGTCAGAGGTGTCAATACAGGCACCTGTCTGCTGGTTGGAGGCACTAATTGAAGGCACTGACACAGAGTGTTGAACT